GTATGCTGTTTCTATAATTTCTATATAACTTATCTTTTAATTAACTTATTCATAAAAGTTTTTTTTCCTTCAAAAGATATGTGCATATAAAGTGATACTTTTTTAAAATCTCCCTAATTTAAATAAAATATTACTAAAATAGCAACCAAAAAAAGTAATTATTAATTATATATAAAACTAAACACGAGAATTAGAGTTAAAATTATCAATGGGCAGATTAATCAGTAATTTTTATAAATATGATTAATCAACATCTAGATTATTTATTAATTTTTGTGAATCAATAATTATCACGCAAAATCAAAGCGTATTGACTACAAATCATTTATAACTTTCCTTTGAAAAAAACAATATGATTGTACATATTAGTAAATATTTTTTAAAAATTAAGCTACCCATCTAATATTTTTTTAAAAGAAAGAAAATTACCAATGAGGACAGATATTTGGATTTAAGGAAATTTCAGGGTGTTAGTGATGATGTGGAGAAAATTAAGGAGAAAGTAGAGAAGATTAATGCATGGAGAGGCATGGATAGAAATTACAAATATGCACTTTAAGATCCAATTTTTCACCACTTTAGGGATAGGAAATGACATGATAGAGGAGAAGAAATTTTAAAAATAAATTTAACTTTATGATTTTGTCTGTAAACTTTTAGGAGTGTCTATTTAATCTTTAACATTAAAAAGTTCTACAAGGTCCCACATTTTTGTAGTTGTCTATTCAATCCTGGTAGTTTAAAAAAGTTTTTAACAAGCCTTAAAATTTTCAATCCAAAAATTTAATTAGTCCCTATCCCTACTGAAAACTTCTATTCTACATCATTTGAAGTAAGTCCAAAACTGGATGATCCTTAAATAATACTCAATTAACATGTCATGTAACCATTATACAAATTAACGGCAAGAATCTACTAGACATAAAATTAAAAGTTCAAGTTAAATGACCTATTCGAAACTTTTGTGAAGTATAGGAACTAAAGATTAAAGATTAAAAGTTTAAGCACCTGTTAGAAACTTTTTTAAAGTATAGAAATTAAACCAACATAATTCTTACAGTTCAAACAACTTGTTATAAACTTTTTGAACTACAATGACTAAATCGACACAAAACCAAGCTTAACTATTTCTAACGAATCCATGACATAATTCCATTAAAAAAACACCCCAGAAGCTTCAATACAGTGATAGCAATATCCTTTTGAGGGTCTCTGTGTCTTTATTGCCACTTCATAATGCGGAAGAAAGTGCAAAACACTATGGAAGAGGACATGAATGGCATTAAAACCACAAACAAAACAACAAAGCACACCCACTACCAATCCCAATGTCTCATTTTTTGAGCTATCATTGCTTTGCTTTTGCTGGTCTCACAGCCGCTCTCATCTTAATATGGCAACTTCTCCTTAGTTGATGTATCCAACACCGTCAATTTGTAACCAAAACTGGAAAAAGGACATCATAACTCATGGACATAGCAATTTCAGTAAATACTTGGTCATAAAAAGGAAGCAATATCTATTCTTTAACAGAGATTCTTTCAGATCCATCTTGTTATGAAGCTAACAGAACAGTTCCAGCTCCACATGAATAGACAGACCACTGAAATTGAGCTAAAACAATCATTGCAATTCCAAAAGCATGAAAATTGGAGCACAGAGAAGAGTAAGCAAAAAACATAGATTTGTGATACTTACAGGCAGAAGCAGCAGCCTCTCTCTCTCTCCGAGCTTGCTTCTGATATGATTGTTGATCCAAAATCAATTTGGCCCGTCAGAGACCGAAGTAAACATAGATAACTGATCCTCTAGCTTACACAAGATCATGAAAGGCAATACTTGAGTTAATCTGGGGAAAGTGTATATTTATATTTGTGCATACAGCTACACATACTTGAAAGTTTCATCAAAACCCTTTTCGCTTATTGCTCAAAATTGTCTGAAAAAAATAACAAGAGGGATTTCTTCCTTCTACCTCTTCACTTTCCATTCTGATGATACAACATAATACACCATTTTAAAACCATCTAAGCAACTATGGTACACGGCCCCAAATAGGCGCATATGAAATGTAAGTTTGTGATTTTACAATTGGAAAATGTAAAAAACAAAACCCCAGTGGAAGTAATTATGTTGTAACTTCACACCACTCTTCAGATCTGGGAAAACTGGAGTTGTTTAAAAATCTATTCAGACACATCCTTATAGAAATATCCTTAATCATTTCCCCGAACCCACCGTGCTGAACCTGCCTTTGCCAAGCCAGAACAGAAATGACTGACATTTGCAACAAATAATGGGTCCCTTTCTTCATCGTTGAACTCGTATCCAGTATGACAAGCAGCATTTCCCTGATCTATATGCTCTAGTTCTCTAGTCAAATCTTCCATGGTCTTTTTTAAATTGGCTTTACTCATGTTCCCTGATTCACCAGTAGAGATACCTACCATTGTTATTTTGGGGAGAAAAGGACTTGGCTGCACATTTTGCTTCATAGGTTCCCGAGGAACATCGTTTCTTTGTTTTTGTTTTGACCACAGATGACTGAACCAATTTTGAAAAGGATTGAACGAATGCTGTTTAGGTGCTTGACTGGCTTCCCTATTATCTTGGATGTTCAGAGGTGATGAACTATACTGAAGTTCTTTACTGTCCTTTACTGATTTAGAGTCGGTAAGACTGCTAGCAGACTCTGAGATTCTTAGGAGAGAAGCTGCACTCCTGAAACAGAGAAAATCAGTTGCATTCAGTTCATACACCAAGTATTTGTGTGATGAACAAATTTGGATAATCCGAAGATTCTGAACACATACCTTCTCTCAAATGAGTCAACCATGTAGGGGAATTTCGGCTGAATACCAACTGCTTTACGCAACCACCTATTTCCAAGAATTACTTTATCAACAGTGTAAAGAAGCTGCATTTCAGCAACCTTAGATATGACACTCAAGGGTATTCCAGGATTGCCCATCTCATCCATCACTTCTTGAACCTACTAGGGAAAAATATGTAAGACGACATATGTATGGTGAACGGATATCAAAAATCAATCCTATGATAATATTCTTCAAGAACAGAAAAAGTATAAAAGTGGGGGATAACATTATCCCCACTAAGGGTCCACACAAGTTACAAAAAGCCTCTGCTAACTTCAAAAGGTAAAAGGAAAAAAAAAAGGAATATTAACCTAGTAAACGAGTATATTACACTTTACACCATCTTTGTAATAGTAGCTAACTCGATTTAAGATGAAAGTATTTTGAAAATCAAAATGATTACATAAACTTTAAACATGCTTCACAAAATTATAAATAAAGTTTAAATCATCCCCAGTTCACCTTCTCTGGTTTCTTTCATCTCTTATTCTATCTTGAACCCTCTCCTAACTGTTAGCTACTAACCTTCTCCTAGACTTCTCTGGTTTCTTTCGTCTCTTCTTCTATTTTGAACTCTCTCCTAATTGTTAGCTACTAACCCTCTCCTAGACTTCTCTGGTTACTTTCATCTCTTCTCCTATCTTAAGACTACCCAGAAGTAGCATATTAACTTTTTCGACCTACTTCCTTTCTTTGTTTAGGATTCCTATGTCCATTAGCACAATGTTGGAGAAAATTATGTGGGACTTTCTTTGGAAAGAGGTCGATGAAAGGAAAGGGGCTCATCTAGTCAAGTGGGAGTTGGTGAGTAAGCCTTCATATAGGGGGTTAGGAATTGGCAACTTGAGACTGCTGAAGCCTTTGTTTCCACGAGGCCAATTCTTTGCGGGATAGGATAATAGCAAGCAAGTACAGTCCGCATCCCTTTCAATGGGTGGTCGGGGGTATTCTAAAGGTACTTCTAGGAATCTGTTGATAGACATCTTCAGGATTCCTTGTTTTTCTCAATTTGTTCATTGTTGAATGGGGATGGGAATGATATTTTCGGGAGGATAGGTGGCTTGGGGATCGTCCCTTCTGTTCCCTTGCCTTTACTACCTCTCTTACATGAGGCGTCGTTCGGTGGCTTTAGTTTTGCCTTCGCTAGGTAACAACTCTTCCTTGTTTCTTGATTTTCATCATCCTTTGTCTGATAGGGAGATGGGCAATTTCGTGTCCTTATTCGTCTTAATGGGGACTTTGTTGTTAATCCGGGACGGAGGTATTATCGTCTTCAGTCCCTCAATCTTCTAGAAAGATTTTTTTACAATTCTTCTTCTGGTTGACGTTGACCCCATCCCTCTTGCTGCTCTATTTTCTCTTCGCTATGGAAGGTTTAGATTCCAAAGACTATTATATTTTTTGCCTAGCAGGTTTACATGGCAGGTTCTGCTTTGAGCAGGCCCTAGTGTTGCATTCTTTGTTGGGCGCCGATGAGGATTTTGATCATCTCCTTTGATCTTGCTAGTTTCCTTCATCTGTCAGAGATTGTTTGCTTCATGCTTTTGGGTTCGCCTTCTGCGTGCCAAAGAGAGTAGTTTGATGTTGGAGGAGGTTCTTCACTACCCTCTATTTCGTGATAGGGGTCGGGTCAATTTCTTCAGCAAGCAGGTTTCTTAGCTGTTCTAGGACTTGTGGACCGAGAGAAATAACAAGATTTTTAGAGGGATTTAAAGTTCATGGGAGGATATTTGAACTCTGGCTTCATTTCATGTTTCCTTTGGGTTTTGGTGTCCAAAGCATTTGTAATTACATGATCTTACTAGATTGGAGGAGCTCATTTTTTAGTTTGGCTCCGTTTTGTAGGGCTGTTTTTTTTAATGTCCTTTTGTATTATTTCATTCTTCTCAATGAAAGTCCAGCCTTTAGAAAAGATAACCACATGAACAAACTCAGTCATACTTTCCTCGACTTTGATGGTAGCTTCCATTAAGTCAAGACGCAAGAGGGTCTTTTCAGCAATGTCGCAAAAGCTTCCACAATAATCTCCAATCAACTTGAAGGTCTCATCTTCTCGTCTATCTGAAGGGAGGTTCCGAATTTTTATCCATTTACTGAAGCTTCAGGTCTTTCGCTGAATCTGGGAAAAACAACTCTCATTGGAATTAATGTGGTAGAGAATCAGTTGCAAGCTAAGGCTGCAGTCCTTGGATGCAAAGTGGAACAGCTTCCCTTCTCCTACCTTGGTATACCCTTGGGAGGTAATTACAAGAAGAAATCCTTCTGGGCTCCGATAATTGACAAAGTAAGGCAAAAGATTGATAAGTGGCGGAATCTTACTTTTTCTAAAGGTGGTCGGCTAACGCTTGCTCAATCGGTCATTACTAGCCTTCCCTTTTACTTCTTCTCTGTCCTAAAAGCCCCCGCGAGGGTTATAAAAGACATTGAGCAGTTGACTAGGAATTTCTTCTGGAATGGAAGAACTTCAAAAGGCTCGTGCAGCCACCTAATTAATTGGGGAAAGACAGTACTCCCTATGCAGTACGGTGGTCTTGGGATAAGAGCTTTGCAACAGAAGAACAATAGCCTGCTTCTTAAATGGTTGTGGAGATTCACTCAGGAGTCGAATGCTTTATGGAGAAAGGTTATTGTGAGTATTTACGGGGAAGGACACGGTTGGGCTACTCTTCCTCCCAAAGGTAAAGCAAAAGGGAGGCCTTGGTTTGATATAATGAAGAATAGCAGTTTTTTTTCTAAATTCCTTGACTTCAAAGTGCGAAAAGGGAATCGTATCAAGTTCTGGTCGGATAAATGGCTAGGACAAAATGATCTCCAAAACTCTTTCTAGAACTTGTTTAATATCTCCACAAAGAAAGGGGCCACGGTGGCAGAGTGCTGGAATAGTGCAGAGAATGATTGGGACTTGGGATTCAGAAGGGGCCTCTTTGACTGGGAAATCGAAAGTTGGATATCGAAAGTTGGATAAGTCTAATTCAAGCTATTGATGTGGTGCGTCCAGGGGAAGGGGAGAATTGGGTGGGATGGTCTATAGGTAAAGGGGGAATGCTTTTGACTAGGTCAGCCTGTATGAAAATGGTGGATTGCACCTCCTTTTTGAAGTCTGCTCTTATTTAAGCAATCTGGAAATTTTCTTCACCAAGAAAAGTGAAGGTTTTCTTATGGTCTCTAGCACACAGAAGCTTGAACACCCATGAAAAGCTCCAAAATAAGTGCACAAACTGGGTGTTATCCCCCTCTGTTTGTAGCTTATGTATGGCCAACACCAAGTCAATTGACCATATGTTCATTTCACTGCTCGTTCGCGGCTCGGGGTTGGCTTTTTCTTATGGATATTTTTGGTATGTCAATTTGTTTACCAAGTCGTATAGATGACTGGCTAATAGAGGTTCTTCATGGTTGGAGTCTCCCTAAAAAAGCAAGGTTTTTGTGGAGGTGTGCTTCGAGAGCTCTCCTTTGGCATCTTTGGTTGGAACGAAATCTTCGAGTCTTTGAAGATAAGTCTTCCTCTTTTGAGATTTTTCGTAGAAATGTACAGCACACTGCCTCTTGGTGGTGCATCAACTATAGCAAATTCTTTTGTAACTACAACCTTGGCTTTGAACAATTGGAAAGTGATTGTGTAGTCCTTTTGGGTGGGGTTTCCTCTACCCTAGCCCCTTAAGTTGTTCCTTTTTGTTTTCCTCATGGAATATACAGGTTTCTTATCTAAAAAAAAAAGAGAATTTTTATCCATTTACCATAGGATGGAACAACTCGATTTAAAAGAGAGGTTCGTAGCTGCATTGTCTAAATATTCAAAATAAAGGCCCCACCTTGTACCAACACAGGATGGAGCATAGGACCCTAGCTTGTTCTTCATTTTCGCATCAAAGGAGAGCTCTAACAGGTTAGAGAGGGTTGAGGAAGCAAAATGCTAATATGTTCCAGAAGAGTCATCATGACCCTATGCCAATCATCATGAAAACATTTTCTAGGGACAACAATGGATTAGTTGAGCCTCTGTAGAGGCATGAGTAAAGGTCAAAGAAGGCTGTAGTGTGGAGGGAGCAATGCTAGAACTTTGGACCTTTTGACGATAATTTTTTGAAATCTCCTTGTAGGATAAGATAGGTGTGGCATTAATGAGGTTTTTCTTTGGGGCTGGAGGCTCATTATAGTATTTTGTTGATGCCTCCGTTGGTATCCAACTTTGTAATCTTAGCCAGATTTCCTTTCCTATTGAAATATTTCTCAACCCAAAGGGTATGGTCATCAATACGAGTTTTCTTAAAGATTTTCTGATCCAGAGGAACCATGAGGAGGGTGGAGAAAACATCAGCAATCCAAGAAAGGGAAGAACAGTGGATAGATATGAAAAAAGTACGGTCCTTTGTCGTTTCTATGATCTTTATTCTTGAGCCTCTTAATCTCTTATCCACTTCGAAATTCATCAGCAACCCAAGAAAGGGAAGACCAGTGGATATATATGAAAAAAGCATGGTCCTTTGTCATTTCTATGATCTTTATTCTTGAGCCTCTTAATCTTTCATCCACTTCAAAAGTCTAATGCTTCCTACCAATCAAAACAGAGTGGGTAGGGCAGTGAGAAGTCATGTTCAACAGTTCTGTAGCTACAAAAAGGAACCCTGGTGCACTAGAGGGAGGGAGAAAGGAAGAATGAAGGTGGCTGATCAAGGAGAAGGAAAGGACAGGGAGCCCCATCCCAAACTTCCTTTTTTAACGTGTTCTTATTCAAAAAGACAAAATAACTTTTGGGACAGAATAAAGGTGATATTATAATACAATTTCAGTCTTATTTTCTTGCATGAGATTGAAATTGGTTCCTAYCATATTCCATAAGTTTCTGATTACCACACATTGTAAGATAAGAAGCTAGTTTCCGTTAGCACTCAAGAAATTAGCGAAATCATTGAGATCCTGGGCATTGAAATATTAATAAAATACCTAGTACCTCCTCACTATAAACTGTTCAATATTAATATTAATAGACTATTAAATATCAAACCTCTGGGGGCTCCAACAAACTATCGCCAATCTCTTCAAGAACTTCTGCGGCTGCATTATCATCAACTATCTCCCTTCGGCGCTGCAAACGCCGAGTTTGGATTAAAGCATGAAAATGCTGATCAACAGATTCTTCAAGAATATTATCGAGCATATTTTTATCAAAAAAATAAGGAGTGTACCTGAATAACAAAATGAAAATACTGAAGATAAAATATGCAAAGAAAAACTTTGATAAGGAAACAAGATGTAATAACATCATAGAACATGAAAAGAAAAATGATCAAAGGGCGAAAAATGGTGCAAACGGAATCCTCTTGAGCTTCTAATTCCAAATTCAAGTAATTTCAAATAATAAATCAACCTACTAAATGGACCTAATTGGCAACTAAAAAAACAGAGAAGGGCCAAAGAAAAAGGAAAGAATAGAGCAAATTGTTCCTACATAAGGGGGTTTTGTTGGTTATAAACTAATAAGATAACAAATATCTGTGCTTTTTTACAAATTGTAAATAAGATGGATATATTTTTCTAAAGATGCAAATTATCTTGCCGTGAAAGGGTTATTCCTTTGGGAGGTTTTTTTTCTTTCATTCATGCTTCTCCGTATTGTGTTCTAACTAAACTAGCTTTTCCAACCCATCTCTTGAAATTTAACATTGTCTTACCAACATACTCTCTAGGGTAATTAGTAAATACTAAGTTTCTCTTCTTTTAACTATTTTTTTTTTTTTTATCTAAGGTAAGGGTACAATTTTTTTTTTCCTTTTTGGTGAAAAGTCACTTTCAAGAAGAAGAATGAAAGAATACAAAAGGGCATAAGTACAGCCCTAGAACAGCATAGTAACTTTTGACATAAGAAAATGACATACCACTTTATCCCATCAGTGGTTGCTATTGCAATATCCAAGTTTTGGGCACTGAACACAGGAACACCATCAATCCTTTTGCTTCCACCATTTTGAGGTAGCCCTTTAAGAAGCTTGTTTGCTGCTTTAACCTACATTGGAGAAGCATTCAAGGGCAAAGGGCAAAAGTAATTGTCACAACGTTCTAGCTGGGGGTATTCTCTAGCATACTTGTAATATTTTTTATGTTTTCTGTATTGATGGAAGTGTTTCTAGCTTCAGATAAGAAAATTCATACTTGCTTCTCACTCGGAATGAATTGAAATAAATGAGGTTTTTCCTGCATGGTTCAAGTCAAGACATTAGAAGTTAGATCATGGAAGACAACCAACAGATCTTCAGCAGATTTTGGAAATTATAGTACAACCATGTATCAGTTCGAAAACCAAACATGTTTGTATAATGTACTACAACCTCTTATGGATAATCTCATGAAAATGCCAAAATGAACTGATAACATTTATTTTCAGACAGAATGTATTCTTTTTTCCAAAAGTAGAATAATTACACAAAGAGTTAGACAAAAAACACCCAGAAAAAATATGAATCTTGGCCAAATCAGCCAATTCCTCCCACCTTTTTACTTAGACCTCAAGGCACATACGTACAGCCTATTGAACAAGATTTTTTTTCAAGTAAGGTCATTCCTCCCACCTTTTCTTGTTAAATATTCTAGAGTTCTATTCCATCCAAATATCCAATAAGAATAACTACATTTACCCACAAAATTTTCCTTCTCTATTTAAGGTCACACATAAATTGAATAAGAGAATTCCTGTTTGTCCCATAGCCCATGATATATGAAATTGTTCCAACAAAAATTCCCAACATTTTCTTTGTAACAGCAGTGAAAAACAAATTTCCAACAGTTTCTTCAGTTTTAAGACATAATAAACACCAGTTCAGTTGAAGATTTTTTTTTTTCCAGTTGAAGAATAAAGTTGAGGCTTTGGCCAAAGATGGAGAAAGGCTGCTTGTCCTCTACTAATTTCTCGGTTCTGATCAATGGCCGGCCTCAGGGGAAATTCGTAGCAAACCGAGGTTTAAGAACAGGCGACCTGTTATCCCCTTTCCTCTTTACCCTAATCGGTGACTCTTTTAGTAGGATGCTCCATTTATGCTGTTAAAGGAGATTAATCAAGGGTTTTTCGATCAGCATAAGACGGGTAGAAACTTCTCATTTGCAATATGCAGACAATACGATAATCTTCAGTCCGGATCAGAAAGGTGTCCTCTCAAATTGGTGGTTGGTGATAAATATCTTTCTTTTACCCTCAAGTCTTTCCCTAAATCTTGGAAAAACTGTGCTTATAGGCATAAACACATATGAATACTTCAAGGTCCAACGTTTATGAACTAGGATGTAAGGCAGAGAGTCTACCATTTTCCTATTTGGGAATCTTGCTGGGAGGTAATCATAGAAGAATCTCTTTCTGGGAGCCTTTGGTGGATGAAGTTCAGAAAAAGATAGATAAATTGAGGAATTTAACCCTTTCAAAGGGTGACAGTCTAACGTTGTCACAATCAGTTATTAAAGTCTCACCCTTTATTATTTCTCAATTCTCCAAGCTCTGCTTGGAGTTATCAAAGAGATAGAAAGCTGACAAGAAATTTCTTCTGGAATGGGGGCTTCATAAAGGCCATTGTAATAACTTAGTGAACCTCCCTCCCTTTACAGTACGGGGGACTTGGAATCGGAGCCTTACAACAAAAAAAAAACAGCCTCCTTAAGTGGTTGTGGAGATTTACGCAGGAGACCAATGCTCTAGGGAGGAGGGTGATAGCTAATATCTATGGAGAAAATCTATATGATTGGTCTACTCTCCCCCAAAGGCAAGGCTAACGGGAGACCTTGGTTCGATATAGCAAAAAATAGTACTTTTTCCATAGATTCTTGATGTTTAAGGCTCAAAATGGGGAGAGAATTAGTTTTTGGAATGATAAATCGATAGGATACAGCACCCCACGTGACACCTTTCCGAACATCTTTAGTCTCTCCACAAAGTAGAATGCGACTGTTGCTGATTGTTGGAACGAGGAAGCAAAGGGGGAAGTTGACAGTTGGATGGACTTCATTCATATTTTGGATGTTGTGCGGCTTGGAGAAGGGATAAGGCATTGTGGTTACTAGAAAAGGAAAAGGTGTTTCCTACTTATCTGAGGCTGGTGGAGTGCACCCCTTTATTGAAGTCCCCTCTCATTACCTCCATTTGGAAATTTAAAAGTCCAAATAAAGTCAATTCTTTGGTCTTTGGCCTATAGAAGTTTAAACACTCTTGAGATTCTCCAGAGGAGTGCAGAAACTTGGCTCTCTCTCCTTCAGTCTGCAGCCTTTTCCTCATGAGTTAACTAGTCCATTGACCACCTTTTCATCCACTATCCGTTTGCTGCTTGGAGTTGGTCTTTTATGCTCGATAGTCGATACCTTTGGCACTTATGCTTGTTTTCCTAAGCAGATTGATGGGTGGCTCATGAACTGCTAACGGGCTGGTTTTTACCTAGAAAAGTCAGGTTTATTTAGAATTGTGCTATGAGGGCTCTTTTGTGGCCTTATGCGGGGAAAGAAATCGTCGTATTTTTTAAGATAAGGTCTCTACTTTTGATACTTTTTTAAAGAGTGTACAGCACACTATTTCTGGTGCCTCAATTACAATAAATTTTTTTGTAACTACAATTTTTCTATATTTTTAAACTTGTATAGCACTTTTGGGTGGGATTCTCTCTACCCAGCCCTTAGGTTGTTTCCTTTCCTCTTGCTTAATATACAGGTTTCTTATCAAAAAA